CAAGCTCAGCCCTTAGCTGCCAGCTCTCTGCCCTGCTCTGTCCCCCTCTCTCTCTGCAAAATATCCCTTGGTAAACTTGTCTATTTAGATTTGGCACTGAAAATATCAATAAAAGCCTGTAACAAGAATAGGAAAAAGCTTTATTTGAGATACACTGAGTACTATAGCCTGGAAGAAAACTTCTCAAAGAACGCTGAGGAGCTGCTCCAGAGAAGCGTGGTTTTCAACACAGTTTCAGATCTTGTTAGAAAAAAAAAACATCAAAACAAGTTATGGATACATACCTTGAAGGTTTCACAAAAAATAGACCAGATGTACAAAGTCAGTATGGCCTTGGCACCTGGTAAGAGAATGTTATCATGGAAGGAAGTCCAGCATTGCCTCCCAGGAAGTGAAGAATTTAATCTTTATTTTAACATAGATTCTCTTTACTGCTGGTCATTCCACCCTTTTCTTTAATAATTAAAGCAGATGTACAAGAATGTCTGATAGGCCGCAAACAGGCTGTTTTAGTTACATAAAATTCAAGTTGACTCTATGTCTGTATTTCCTTTGCTGCCCTGCATGTACGATCATCAGTACTATCTTCCCGGATTTCATATATATGTGTTAATATATGGTATTTTTTTTTCTTTCTGACTTACTTCACTCTGTATAATAGGCTCTAGGTTCATCCACCTCATTAGAACTGACTCAAATGCCTTCTTTTTTAGAGCTGAGTAATATTCCACTGTGTATATGTACCACAGACATAAAGAACAGACTTTTGGACACAGTGGGAGGAAAGGGTGGAATGATTTGAGAGAATGGTATGGAAACATATACATTACCATATGTAAAATAGATAGTCAGTAGGAGTTTGGTGTTTGATACAAAGAACCCAGAACTGGTGTTCCATGACAATCTGGGGGGAAGGGGTGGGCGGGGAGGTGGGAGAGGATTTCAGAAGGGAGGGGCCACATGTATTCCTATGGTTGATTCATGTTGATATATGGCAGAGGCCACCACAATACTGTAAAGTAATGATCCTCCAATTAAAATAAATAATTTTTAAAATTCAAGTTAATTCATTTACAAGCCAGAACAACTTCCCCATACCTCAGTATATGAACATTTCTTTTTATCAAGTGGCTGCCTAAGTTCTCACGGTCAGGCAGGGGGCTCTTCCCTCTCCTTCCAGCTCTAGGCTGCATTCTGACACCCCAGACAGAGTGCCATGACCACCATTCTTGCTCCTGGACATTGTTTCAAGCCCAGAACTTGGGTCTCTTGGTCCCAGTCGCTAGGTGGGTCAGGACAGCTCTGCCCTGTCCTGAGAACAGAAATGAGCCCTGGACTCCCATTTAGTATAGCAAGGATGATTCCTTCCACAGTACATTCTTATCTATTATCCCATTATTTAATTTGATGCCCATGATAACCCTGGAATCTACTTGTGGCAGACAGAATCACACTCCTGTATGACTTAGGTAACTAACAGATTGAGTGACTTGCTGAGGGATGGCGGGAATGAGGGGCAGAGACAAGACTAGAGCTCAAGTCTCTGGGCTCCTCATCAATGGCACCTGCTGACTAATTGCAGAAAGTCCTGGGGTCCTCATCAAGGCGAGGACCATCTTAAAGCAAAAGTCAGAGCATCTTGATTTGCCATGCATTCTGCAAAAGAAAAGGCTGTGAGCCCAAGCCAGTGTCACAGGACTGGTCAATGTTGCCCTGGTGCTCAGCTCAGACACTCCCAGCATGGGCCTCCCTCCTCCAGCTGCCCCTGATCCATCTGTGGTCTATGCCAAGGGGAAGACATCTGCCACTTTTCCTTGAGAGTGATCTTTACTTTGCTTAGAGGAGGAAATGAATTTCCAACTGGAGCTTTCCTCGAGAGTCCAGAGTCCAGACAGGCTGCTATGGGCTGTGCAGTAGAGCCCTGTGGCTGGTGAAGGCCTTCAAACTGCAAGGATGATGAAGACTGACTGCTATACTCCACTCAGGCTATCATTAATTTAGAATTTGAAAAGGGGAGAAATCTTGTTTGTTTCAAGCTGTTCAAGCCAGAAGCTGCCTTGGGGCAGTGATTTCTTCTCACATTTCCATCAAAACCGCATCTCCATGTAGGCAGCTTCATCCCACCGTGGCAGCCCTTCTCCCTGACCCATTCCCACCATGAGAGCCCTTGGAGCACAGCTGCTATGCCAGGAGATGAGTGACATCTCTGTGGAAGGGAGGGGCACCTGGGGTAAGAGCTCCCCCTTCTCTCGGTGCTGCCTCTGTGCCCTAAAGGCGAACACTCACGTGTTGGACTCAGCCTCCAGACAGGCGGTCCTGCTGGGATGGGGCGGGGCTTCCACCAGTGGGCACAGCAGATGGGCTGCCAGCCGGGGCCCAGAGTTCTGGGGAGGATGGTGCTCCCCAGCTCCAAGCCATAGCACAGAGGCTGCTGCCATAATCGTTGTGTCTCTGGGGGACCAGCACGGAAGGATTTCCTTCTCCTGCAGCCCAAAGGCATGCTTGTCACCTTCTAGAACCGGGGATACTCAAGGGATTATCCCCTTTTCTAGCCCATCGAAGAACCCAGAAAACTGGTCTTCTTCAGTGTAGAGACCATTAGTCAGAAATAGGTCTGAGGTTTGTGGTCAAAAAGACAGGGCTAATACAAAAAGGATGATGATGTAAATAAACATGCCAAATTCAGCTATGAGTTTGAGAAAGCTCTGGGAGACGGTGAAGGACAGGGAAACCTGGTGTGCTGCAGTCCATGGGGTCACAAAGAGTCAGACTCAACTGAGCAACTGAACATCAACAAATCCAGTCAAACAGTGTGGCAGCTGGAGGTCTGGCCATCTGTGAGGAGTTAATAGGAGGAGGTCATGGGTAAGGAAAGTGCGGGTGCCCAGTTGGGGAGAACATCCTCCTTGGAGAACTTTGGCACAGTGACCATGAAGCCAGGATCACCTTGACCATCAAGGTCACCAACAAGTCCCTGGCAGTATTGCAGCCAGTGAGCCATGGGCCATTAAGACTCTTCAGCTGATGAAGTGAGTAGCTGTGACGGGAGAAGGTCGTGTCTCGGCACCCCCGCTCCCCTCGCTGGTGGCACCAGGCCCCTGGCAAGAGCGCCTTCCTGGTCACTCCCACCCACCATCCCAGGTAGAGAGGGGGTGGGCCCAAATGCCGTCCAAGTGTCTCTCATCCCTCCCACCCCTTCTGCCAGCCCAGTGGCCTGGCATCAGGGGTTCCCCAGAATGGACCCAACCCCCTCCTCTTATTTGCTGGAAAGTCCAGCCAGGAGAGGTAACAGAACCCCCCGGCCCCTTGTATGACTCCGGCCTCTGGGCTGGCCGCCCACCCACCTGCCCGCCCCACCTCAGAACCCTTCCCCCAGTGCAGCCACTCCCTGCTCCCTGTCCTGTCCTCTTCTTTTGTATTTGGAAACAACATGTTGTAGTAAACCCTGAGATGGATGTTTAAAAAAAAAAGAAAAGAAGTCTCCTCAGCCAACTGAGAGGCAATCACAAAAGTCACATGAGAAAATAACTCAAACGTCATTTGGAATCAACACCTTACTAGGAGTACACCTTTCAGCCACAGATTTAGATTTAAATTTAGAAATGCTGGACACATCCAACCCATAGGAAGACCACGTCAAGGTGGCCTGTGGTTGAGCTGTTGAGAGACAGTTTTCTGTCAGTTTCTCATATTTCTTCACATCGTGTGGGCTGAAGCATGACTGCCTTTGCTCTAGACCACCTTTTCAGGGATTTTGGAAAACAGAGACAGAGTCTCCCCTCAGAGTCGAGGTCAGCCTTCTGTACTTTCAGGAGACAAGCAGGACCATTGCCTCTAGAAAAGGTTCCAGCTTCTGCGCTGAGGGCTCCTGCCCTGTCACCACCGCGCGTGCTCTTCACATCCCACTGTGAGGACTGGGACTCGGGGAACCAGTCAAGGCTGGAACGCTGTGTGCTACCCCTGCTGTGAGTGCCTCTGCCCCAGGGGCCTCATATCTTTTCCCAGCAAAACCCACCAAACCTGTGAGTTTGAAAGTAGGCTAAAATCTTAGACTCCTCACGATTGTTGAAATAAGCACTCTGTTCATATTTAGTGTTTAAGTTTTTTCGGTCCTTAAGGGATGTTGACCTGTGCAAGTAAGAGACCAACTTTGTGATTCCATAGTAAAATTAAGTGATTTATACTTATGGTCCTTAATTTGAAATTTACTATAACAGTGAACAGTGTAGGAATATTTAAGATCTAGATGAATCCTATTTATAATCATAATTAATTAGATTTATGAAAATTACCTTAAGACCTAGAGAGGTTTGGTTTATCCTTTAGAACAGTGTTGTTGCTATTGCTCAGTCACCAAGTTTTGTCCAACTCTTTGGGACCCCATGGACTGCAGCATGCCAGGCTTCCCTGTCCTTCACTTCTCCCAAAGTTTGCTCAAACTCATGTCCATTGAGTCAGGGATGCACCTGTCTCATCCTCTGTCACCCACTTATCCTCCTGCTCTCAGTCTTTCCCAGCATCAGGGTCTTTTCCAGTGGGTCAGCTTTTCACATCAGGTGGCCAAAGTATTGGAGCTTCAGCTTCAGCATCAGTCCTTCCAATGAATATTCAGGGTTGATTTCCTTTAGGACTGGCTGGTTTTAATCTCCTTGCTGGGAGATCCAAGAGACTCTCAAGAGTCTTCTCCAGCATCACAGTTTGAAATCCTCAATTCTTTGGTGCTCAGTCTTCTTTATGGTCCAACCCTTACAATCATATTAGGTCATTAAATTACCTTAAAAAGGAAATAAAACATATTACACTTGTAAATCTTATTTTAAATGTCTGAAGGAGTTGGTGATGGACAGGGAAGCCTGGTGTGCTGCAGTCCATGGGGTTGCAAAGAGTCAGTCACAACAGCGACTGAAATGAACTCACTCCTTCTCTAACAATAAGAGTGGCAAACAAAGTGACTTTTCTTGGACTCACCAAAGCACAAACATCACAGGCCAACTAAGTAGACCTCTGCCTTCTTTAAGTCTTCGAGGTAGCATCTAGCCCAGAAAGAGACATTACTTCTGATTTTCTATCTTAACTGGGACGTGGAAGTTTCAAGAGTTTCCACTTGGCTTTTCTTGGCACCGTGGTTCTTATTCTATAAGAGTGTTCTTCAAGCTGATAAGTATGTCTAGTCCAATTATAAACTCAGGGACCAGGAAAATGAACACCAGGTGGTATGTGATCCATTGGACTTCTAAGAGATGGATTCAGAGTCAGACTTTCCCCACATCAGCAAGAGGGCTGTGATAGATTTTGCATTCTGTGGCATCAGTTTCAGTTCAGATCTTGTACTCACAGATCTTTGAGGATATGCAACATTCTGTCCTGCAGGAGAAGTGGTCTTAGGGCCTCTTGGTCCTAGATGAAAGTTGTCACTCCTGTGTAAACTTGCTGTGACATTGCAGGGTTGTTCCCCAAGGACACCCATGTCCCCTTCAGTAGACTGGCTCTCTGACAAGTGGCTCAGAACTGGAAACTGGGCAAAGGGTCCTGATTCTCCATTGCAGCGGCTGGCGTCAGTCCCGGGCTCACCTGCTCTCGGCCTTCAGTTACACAGCTCAAGCAGTGCTCCAATCTCACTGTTGGGAATACCGCAGTCTGTGAGCCACTGCTCCCTTGAAGGTGAAAGTGTTAGTCCCTCATCATGGCTGATTCTTTGCAACCCCATTGACTGTAGCCCGCCCCCCACCCCCACCCCCCCTGGGCTCCTCTGTCTGTGGAATTCTCCTGCAAGAATACTGGAGTGGGTAGCCATTCCCTTCTCCAGGGAATCTTCCTGACCCAGGGATCAAACCCTGGTCTCCTGCATTGCAGGCGGATGCCTTCTCTGGGGGCCACCAGAGAAGCCCCCAGTGTTCTCTTAGTCTTGCAAATAAAAGTCCAGGTTGCCTTTGCAACTTTTCTATGGTTATGATAGCTGTCCACCTTGCCTTTGATGGTTAAGGGCTACCAACTCTCCTGTACTCTTCCCCAAATCTGTCATCCCTAGACACCAGGGAGTCCAGACACAGAGCAGCACAGAAAGACCAATTGTCAGGTCTGTTTCAACCATGCTGGCCACCTCTTGCTGGCATGTTCCTTATTTAACTAGTGAAGATCATGCCCTCTGGACCCTCCCAGAGACTGGTTAGTTGGTAGACAATCTGACCTTACAAAATAAATTTATTTTGTCTGCTTTCCTCACTGAACATTCTGCCTCTGCTGCTACCCAGGCAGTTCTAGCACTCACATATCATTTTCTCAAGGCCAGCATCATTTGTTAGCTGCAGGGGGCTCTCTTGGCAGCAGATCAAGACTGGCTCTCAGTGTCCCTGCCAGGATACAAATCCTGAGTCCTGGGGGACTGCTCGAATATCAATAACCTCTCCTTTATCCAGGCTTATATCTTACCCCAAGTCCAGTCCATTCAAAATTCATTTCCAGATGTGAACTCCTGGGTTGTGTCAGTATATGTGAGGGAGGTTCTGTGACCTTTTCTTAAGTGTGCCAGAGTCGCTCAGGCGACTCTGATGTGGGAGGCCTTAGTATGGGCCTGGAGCAGGATTGGTACTCTATGGCCCATTGGTCAAATACAGCCCGTTTTTATAAATAAGGTTTTGTTGGAATCCAGCCACATCCATCTGTTTGCATATTATCTATGGTGCCTTTGAAAAAGCAGGCAAAAGCTGAAGCTCCAATACTTTTTGGCCACCTAATGTGAAGAGTCAGCTCATTGGAAAAGACCCTGATGCTGGGAAAGACTGAAGGCAAGAGGAGAAGTGGGTGACAAGGGATGAGATGGTTGAATGGCATCACCAACTCAACGGACATGAATTTGAGCAAACTCCAGGAGACGATGAAGGACAGGGAAGCCTGGCATGCTGCAGTCCATGGGGTTGCAAAGAGTCAGACACGATTTAGTGAGTGAACAACAACAGCATGATGCTTTTGGACATAGTGGAAGAGCTGAGTAGCTATGACAGAGACTATTTTGCAAAGCCTAAAATATCTATCATGTGTCCCTTTATAGGAAAAGTGTGCTGACCTAGAAGCTGTGCAGGCTGGTGAGGAGATCTTGAGAAGGTTGAGTATTACCTGCAAGGCCTCTGCCTCAGCAGAGAACTCTGCATGATCTCAAGGAAAGAGGATGCTATAGCTGTCTACAGGAGGAATGAGCCTCATTTTCAAGCCTAGAAAGTCCCAGGGACTCCGAGGATTGAGAGTGATCAAGCACATCTACCTAGATGTCCCCATGCTAGGTCCCTGGGGTCCTCTAAATCAGGCCCTTGACTTTAGCATAGGATATTCACTAGGGTCATGGCTTCACACTTCTCATATTTTTATCAGCAGGGTATGCCATCGGCCACAGTACATAGTCCTTTTTGGTGCTGCCACCAAGGACTTCTGGCTCCTAATTTCGGCTTACTTAGATGGTTGGCTTGCTTGAGCTGCCATTTCTTCCTCCAGTGCATCCATGCACCTAACAATCCCCAGCCATCTCCATAGCCCATACAGTTACCATGACCATCACACCTCTCAGATGCTAGTGATACTGCATCTTTCTGTCACCTGCAACCCATCCTGTGCCAGTCAGGCCCAATCAGGGATCATACACGCCACCAGTGATTTCTACAGAAAGAATTTAATTTAGAAAATCTTAAACCAGGTATTGAGGAACTGGACAGCTAAATGCAGGCTGTGGGACATGCGCACATCCATCTCCCCCAGGCGCTGGGCGTGCAGAGCAGGGCCCTGTCCTCAGCGAGGCTACAGCAGCCCGCCTCCCCACTGCTGTCAGGCAGGCGGTGCTGGCTGTGCTGGGCAGGAGAAGCACCCAGACTGTCATCATCTTGTGAGCTTACATTCTCTGGATGCTTAGCAAGCCCAGGAAAAGAGCAAATCCTGTCCCGAAACAGAGTACCCTCTTACTGGGAGTGGTTTAGGGCAATGATGTCAGAACTCAGGGGAAGATTCAACTTTGCAAGACTCCTTGGGCTCTCTGATTCCTGCATTCTATAGTGTCTGATGGTGATTTTCAGGGAGCCAACTATACTTAATTCCCTTTCAGATTAGACATCTTATTTCAGTCCCTCTCTCAATGCCTGCTTACACATTGGCAAGGCCACTCAGACATCTCCAGCCTGGTTGATTGAGAGAATACTTCATGATTCTTTTTTCGTTTTTTGATGGTATATGATGAAATCATTAAAACATACACAAAAGCAGAGATAAATTACCCCCCAGGAGCTCATCACTCAGCTCTGGCCATTGTCAACTAATGGCCACTATTAGTTTTCTGCCCACCCCCACCATCCCTGGATTATTTAGCAACTACTCCCAACATCATACCACTTTGATGTTGTTATAAAAGTAGTGATTCCAAAGCTACTTCCCCTGAATTTTCTGGTTTAGTAAGTCGGGGGGGGGGGGTCTGAAAATCCATATGGTTTTTCATTTTCTCAGGTTTGGGAACCTATAGTATTAAAAAATATTAGCATGGGCCTTTATAGTGAGAAAGTCATAGTTTGAGTCTGGGCTTTGCCCAAGCTATGCAATTTTGAGTAAAAACTTTAAACTATCTGACCCTAAACTCTTTGTCTTGAAGAATTGCCACCTCTGTGAATTTGTGGTCCACTAAGACTCTCTGATATTTTTCACATTAAATAAATTCTATCAAATCTAGTGTCCCTCTAGTCTTTCCTTGTCTTGATTTAGGGGTAGGGATGAGGGCTGGGTTACTTGTCAGCTGTCCTCCTGCTTTATGGTGGTTGTGTCAACAAAATTTCTTCAGCTTGCACTGTCCACCCACCCAGGGTGTGCCCCTTCCCAGCTTCACCACTGCAACCCCTGCAGTCCCACTCTCACCTCGCTTACTCCATTTACTCCAACCCTCTCTCCCAGCAAGCTGGGAACCCAAGGGATCAGACCTACCCCTGAGTGGTGGTCTTCAGTCCCCCAAATTCTCAGACTTAGGAGTAAAACTGCTTTTGGTTCATGTTGTCAACGACTTTTCCCAACCAAACCTTAGCTTCTCTAGCTGGCATTCAGTCACTTGATGTTCATGAACAAGAAAACTGGCTTTGCTGAGTTGCAAAAGCAAGAACTTTGCTCACTTTTGGTGAACTGAGCATTTTTCTGAATGAAGACTGCAGCTATTCATAACACATAAAGCTCTTTGCGGGGAAGGGAATAGTTATTTAATTTAATGGAATCGAAGTGGGGGAGGAATAGATAAATAAGAGAAGCAAGTAGGGACCCGCATTGAACCAGAATGAGGAAGGCCTGATTTCCTGAGGCGGAACACATTGTACAGTGGAGCCTGACTTCATTCTCTCCAGTGTTGCCCCCGCAAATTGTTTTCTCAGCTGTTTATCAGAGAAAAATTCAAGTTTTTGCCATGACAACTAATAGTAGGGGGCGATCTGGAAAGTACAGGTCTGGGAAAGACTTATTTTCAGTGGAAGTTTGGAAATTATCACATGTGAAAGCTAAAAAGAACTGCAACAACCTTATTACTCCTTAAAAATCGAAGCTAAAATGGCAGCATCACTTGCTAGATGCTGCAGAGCTGGTTTGGTCAAAGAGCACAAAACAGCAACCTGGGTTCCTGACTGGTGATTGTTCCACTGAGATGGTTGTTGGAAGCATGGCTATGGGAGGCAGCCCTGCCCGTTATTGGTTCCAAGTCTGATGTCTGATAGTCACTCCTTTGTGTCCAACTCTTTGTGACCTGATGGACTGTAGCCTGCCAGGCTCCTCTGTCTGTGGAATTCTCCAGGCCAGAATACTGGAGTGGGCAGCTGTTTCCTTCTCTAGGGGGATCTTCCTGACCCAGGAATCGAACCAGAGTCTCCAGCATTGCAGGCAGATTCTTTACCAGCTGAACTAAATCTTGAGCAAATTAATTATCTATCATGGGGTCTATATCAGTCACCGTTCCAGTAGGAATCAGATGGCACACCCAAATTAGCATTCTTGGCCAGAGAGAGGGGGTGTCTACTCACAAAG